GATAAAAGCTGCTTTTTCACAGATCAGAGAACTTCTGAAGATCAATATAAAAAACTGTATGAATCTGAAAGTCATTAGCATTCTCCTGCATTCAAGAAAGCTATAAAGATTAAATATGATCTCTTTTATTACATTATAGGGAATGCTGCTACACGAGTACTTAAATAATCTTTGATGCCATTTTACTATATAAAACACGTGTGTTGGCATAGCAAAACAGATGTTCCCCAATATGTCAAGGAACATGTAAGACAGAAGGGGCCTCACTGATGGAAATTTGACTTATAAGAAAATGTTGATCACTCCAGTATCAACATTAGTTATCTGCATTGTGTTTCATGATATCCTTCTGGTTTTGACAACTGGGTCTAATGGCAACATCCCCTCCAAAAGCCCAGGTTGTTCAGTCTCTTTTCTTTCGTTGTCATATTTTACACTAATACATATCCATGTTAAACACTACAAGCAAATTCCCCTTCCACAGTACCTTTTCACACATTCTCTGATTTTAAAAATGAGAAAAATGAAACATCAAATTTGTCCCTAAGCCTTATTCTCAAACCAGTTTTGATTATTTTACCCATATGAATATGAAATTAAGCCTTAAATTCCATCAGAAGTATGGCCACAGTAGAATAAAATATAAATTTTCTTGTTTTAATCACAAGAATACTGTAAATTAACTGAAGACAGGAAATTACTTAAAGCTAAAATTTCAGCTCTCATCTTTCTAAGCAAATGTAATAAATACTACTATTCCAGAATATTCACTTTTAAAATTTTAATAGTACTGATTTACTCTGTGCTTATGAATTACTTAGCATTATAACTTAGAATATTTCCTTTAATACTAGTCAATGAATATTTTGGGGATATTAATATAATTTATTCATAAATTATATATTCCTAAACAATTTCAGACAGTAATTGAGAACAGTAAATCTTATATACTATAAATGTACCATAGTTGACTGTAGTATTACTCTATTTCTTATTTTTCATTATTATGTATTATGCTTCTTTGAACATTTCCTATAGAAAATGTTATGATATTCCACAACTTAGTCTAGATTTTATTCCCAGGAAAGTATAGGAATGTGGGTTTTTTATTTTAGTTGTGAATACCATACACGAGTACTGTATTTGTATCATTTCTACCTCTCCGATTCACCTGTCGAATTCTTTGTGTGCCCTCACCTATCCAAAAAGGTATATTTAGTATTACATTTATATTTGGGGGTGACCACTTAAGACTGGATAACCTATCAGGGAGCTTTCCCTGAGGAACATTGATTCTTATTCTCTTAGCAGCCACTGACTGCCTGTGGCTCAACACCTGGGTGGGACCTAGTGTAATTTCCTCCCTCCACATCGACATGTCACCTGGTGCTATCATCCTGTAGATTTGCTAAGGCACTACACTGTTGAGATTTCAAAGGTGCACCTTCCCTGTCATACCTAGAAGAAAGTATCTAGCAGCAGGCATCCTGGACCACTGGTTCTTACAATATTTCTACTGTCTCTCAAATGATTTTCCCTGAACCTTAGGAGTAGAGGATACATTGAGTTCTTAACTGATCACAAAGGCAGTCATTTCATGAAACTTAACATAACCATTCTATGCTTAAATTTATTCATATATAAAAGAGAGAAGACAGTAGTTTTTTTCCTCTGGGATCCAAAATGAGTTAGTTTGTATACAGCACTCAAAATAATGGCAGAAGCAAATTAGAAAATACCATGTAAATATTAGAATTAATGTTTCTGAGACTTGAAAGTATACCAAAATTGCTTTCCTAAAATGATTTGGTATTATACATGTAGAGCAATAAATTAAGCCCATTCTATTTTCATGAAGGTTCCTATCAGCATGTGAGTATATTTAAAGCTATGTGTATGAATACATAGAAAACACATTTTATTTTTTGTTGTGGAAAATTGGTACACATATGATGAAACAACTTTGGAATGTGATCCAACTGTAGACACCAAGTTTATGTGTGTTTTATATATACCTTATATGGAAATTTTATGCTATTTCAGATATTCTTCCTGCAAAAAGTTATGTACACAAAACCATCAGAAAACAATGGTGTCAATTTTTTAGCAATTCACAAGGACAACCAGTGACCATCTGGCACCACCCTCATTGTTTACATTAAATTCATGTGATAGCACAAAGGAGCCATTGTCCTGTAGTTATTCATATATAAGTACAATAGCAAAAGTAAGATATACTATTGACACAGTGAAAATAAATGTTCAGAGTAACTGATAAAATGAAGTACCATCAAAATACCTATATCAGCTTTTATCCAGTAGTAGCAATAAACAAATACAGATTTTTGATTTTTACTTACAATGTGTCATGATTAAAAGGTTATTGCAAAAGATGTTTTATTGTTTTAGCTAGGAAGAAAGACAATCCTTTAATACAGTTCTTCATGTTGTGGTGACTCTCCAACTATAAAATTATTCACAATGCTACTTCATAACTTAATTTTTGACTGTTATGAATTACAATGTAAATATCTGTGTTTTCTGACAGTCTTAGGCAACCCCTGGCCACTGCCCCAAAAGGGTCACGACCCACAGGTTGAGGCCACTGGATTAGTTAGGCACAGTTACAGGATCAAGGACTCCTAGGGATAAGGGAGCACTGTACTGGATACCTTTTAAAATGTTTCTTCCAGAGTCATCTACCCCACTAAAAACAGATTTTGTCTCAGAAGTCTCTTCTTAATCTTATGAACTATTATGATCTCTTGTTCTATTATAAATGAACATTTCTCTATTCCTCCAATAAGCCCATTATCTGTTTTCACTGTGTCAACAATAGGCACTTTCTTTGCTGTATTAAAAATGTCATGTTCATTGTAACCATTATCATGATCATCTTGATTCAGAACCATTTTGACTATTTTTACTGCCAGCCAATGAATGAACCATTAGAGTCTCAATGATAATATAGAATTTGTTATCTACTTAAATGAATAGTTTCACTTTCCCATAAGCAGAAACTCTATCACAACAAATCTTGGAAACTTTCATGGTGAGGCATTCTTCAAACGTCTGCACCTAGCATAGGAAATAATCATAGTTCCCTTTAAGTTTCAATTCATTGAGGTAGATCCATCCTTGTTTCATTATGATTAACACATTAAGTGGAAGGTGTTGATTACAATGTAGTGGGTCCACTACTTAAATATGAAACTGAGATGTGCAGTTTTTAATTTATGTGCCATGTTGTTCAGCATTTTAGCATAGTACTTTAACAGTTCTTTACATCATATATAGCGGCCATTCCAATACCACATTTTTCTGTGAGAAGTTTCATATTCACACTACTGTCCAATTTCTTCAACATGGTGACACATACATATCTATAGACATTTTGGTGTATATTTTAGCAATGTCTTTATATTACAGAGGGAATAAGAAAAAATAACTAAAGAAATCAACCATGGTAATTAATACACACAGTTCTTATGCAGAACCTACAGCTGGCTCCCACAATGCCATTTTCATTATTCTTTGCAGGCATTCTTGTATTAGATATAAGAAAAAGATAAATCAGAACTTTTGTTGAGGTCTGAGAGAGTCATTTTTTTCCTTGGTGATGTTGGATTGACTGTATTGTGAGCATCAATTTCAAATGAGCCCCATCATAAGAGTTCAGGTATGGAATTTTCCATTCACAGTATCAGTGGCTTCATATGTATGGTCAAAAAGTTTAGATTTTTCGAGCTGGTGAGATGGCTCAGTGGGGAGAAAGCATTTGCTGCAAAGTCTGATGAGCTGAGTTTGAACTCTGGAACACACATTGTAGGAGAGAACTCACTCCCACAAGTTTCCTAGAATTTAAGCTAATGCTTGGAATATATGTATATATACATTTATAATGCTTGAAATGTGTATGTATGTATGTATGTATGTATGTATGTATGTATGTATGTATCTTAAATATTATTTCCTTTCTGTTCTCCAGAACCCATGGATAGTAGTACCTAAAAAGAGGATAGTTTTTTTTCTTCCTAGACCAAATTAGAGAAGAGTTCATTAGTTGTTCTTTCTTGAGACCACCCTAAAGAAATGACAAAGGTCATCACTGCTACAGAGTGAAGGGAAGAGCATTCTGAGTTCATATTTGCCCCCATAAATTTAGGCAAAATTATTTTAGATATTTGTCACTCCTGAAATACAATATTTTTGTGAGTATTAAAATGATTAATAAATCCCCAAATCACGAACAAAGCATATGGATTTTTACTACCACATAATAACTGCAGAAGTGCTGTGTTCTTTTAGCAGAAGCAAGGAAGGTATTAAAACATTAGAAAGTAGATTTACAAAATGTAAAGAAGCAAGGTATTTCCTAACAAAAATGCCTCTTCACTGAGTATAATAAAACAATATCCCACTTCTCAAAATAAAATATCAGCAAAATTCCAATGAGACTGCAAATTTCCCTCTGATCTCTACATGCATACTGTGGCATGTATTCATACCTCACCCATCACTGACATAATAAATAAATGTAAAAAAAGAAACTAATGGATTCAACAAATACTGACAAAATGCCATCTAGAAGCCTGGTTGTATAAGATCAGAGCAAAGAAGTTTGACTCTCTTAGGAAATACCTCATCCAAATGAATATAGTAATAAATTACATTATTGAAGAAAATTCCTTGTTCTGATATATTTTAAATCATAAATTAAAGGCAAAAGTTCTTCTTTCCAAGTTTGTTTTCAAAATAATTTTTTGACTCAAATCTTGACTCCTAGTATTTAATTATTAGATCATATTTTTTATTAGCTAAAACAAGATGAGCAAAACTAACATGTTTTGATTCTTTTATAGGTTTCCTAAAACATATATTTAACTAATGTAAGTTAGTAGATCTAATTTTATGATGGATTAGTTTTTTGCAAGTCATATTCTTTTAATTGCTAATTAAATAGTGTCTGATGATGATAAAATATATCCAAATCTACTTACCACGTGAAGAATTTTATTCTCAGTTTCATATACAGTGCAATCCTGAAAACAAGAACAAATAGTTGAAAAATTAATATCCATTTTAAAATATGCTTTTAGGAAATGTACTAAGAAAACTTCTTGTCATTTCAAGTAAAAACTAAAATAAGAATGGGAAAAATCTGAAAATTTTACTTTTTTTATTACCCAACTAGAACCAATGGTAAGGTTAGATGGTTAGTTATTTTGTCTTAAAGTATATTTTCTACTTTGTCTAACTTTAAGCATGTACAACAAAGGGCAATAGATGTTAAAACTACTTTTTGAAACATTTTTAAATGTTGTTAGACATTTTCTGTCTAAAATTTTACCTGTGATAAATAAATCTGTCAAAACATCTCCAAGATTTTAACTATTGATTTATTAAGGTTAGACTGTTAAGAAAATATTATTTATTTCAACATTCATATCAAAATCTCATACTTTTATATTTTTAATGACATAAGCTACCAAATTTACTTCATATTAGATATTTAAAAATAACAAGTTTATAGTTCTTATATAAATTTGAGTCTCTGAAATTGTAAGGAATTATTTTAAAAGACAACTATATTTTTATCTCAACTGTTAGTTAAGCAATAAGCCACAATATGAAAAGATGAATTCTGCTTAGAAATGTAATGATCGTCATATTCTTCAAGAAATGTGTAAACTGGCCATAGACATGATATGTGTTAGTAATGAACCAATAAGAGTGATCAGAGAATTAGGTAAGAAAATGAGACAAACCGCTTGGCCCCGAGACTGACACATATGCTGTTGCAATATATTACTCTTGCTTGATGTCACATTTTTAATTTTAAAAAAAATCTATTACTTTTACTTACAAATACAAGATTAATAGTTACTTGGTACTTTACCCAAAAATCCATATTCCACTCTTATGTATTTTAAATAACTTTGTTTTGTTTCCTCTGAAATTTATTTTTAAAAAAGACCTATATTTTATATTATTATTTAAGTACAATACTTCAGATAATCTTCAGTTACATACTCATAGCAGAAGAACATATTTAATAATCAGGAGCATTTTTTATGAATCTTCTTCAATTTCTCTCTTTAAAGACTCAAAGTTCTTACTATACAGGTCTTTTTCATTTTTCAAGATATTTTATTTTGTTAGTTGCTATTGTAAAGGGTGATGTTTCTCTGATTTCTTTCTCAGCACATTTATCTTCTGTATATAGTAGGGCTACTGAGTTTTTGAGTTAATCTGTATCCTGCCACTTTGCTGAAGGTGTTTATCAGCTGTAGTAGTTCCCTGGTAGAGTTTTTTGGGTCACTTATGTAAATTATCATATCATCTGCAAATAGTGAAAGTTTGACTTCTTCCTTTCCAATTTGTATCCTCTTGATCTCCTTTTGTTGTCTTAATGCTCTAGCTAGAACTTCAAAGACAATATTGAAGAGATATGGAGAGAGTGGACAACTTTGTCTTGTCCCTGATTTTAGAGGAATTGCCTTGAGTTTCTCTCCATTTAGTTTGATGTTGGCTGTTGGTTTGGTGTATATTGCGTTTATCATGTTTAGATATGTTCCTGTTATTCCTGATCTCTCCAAGACCTTTACCATGAAGGGATGTTGGATTTTGTCAAAGACTTTTTCAGCATCTAGTGAGATGATCATGTGGTTTTTCTTTTTCAGTTTGTTTATATGGTGGATGAATCTTGTTATATTGCCCCGCCTGGCTGCCTCAGTTTTTTGAGTAGCTATAATTAAAGGCTATGTCACCTTACCTGGAATATTAGGGCATGGTTTTATGAGGAAAAGTTAGGTTGATTCATTTCAGAATCTAAGGGTAATACTTAGGATTGAGTCTCACATGCTAAAGGAGAAAAGTATGTCTAACAACATAGTCATTTAAGTGGCTGTATATATTTAAAACAAAGTCAACTCTTGATAATTAATTATGAATTTCATATACAGAGAAACCAAGTTAAGACATTTATGTAAGGAAATGAACTTATAATGTTGTCTAAATTTGGAAGAATTTAATGTTACAGAAATTATTTTTGAACACAACTACATTGGAAAGAGATCATTTGGAAAGAGCTGGGAGGTTGCCTGGACCCTCTATGCTGTTTCTTCAGCTTGCTTCAGCAGCAATGGATTTAAGTTTCATCATTTATCTATCTACCTTCTCAGAATCATAGGCTATTATTAAACATTCAAACTTCAAAAAGGAATCTCCTTTAAAAAAGTGAATTACCATTTAAATGCATATTCTACTAGTGGCATACTGATGTAATACCCTATTAACAGAATAATAATCATACAAGGTAATAATTTGATATAATATCTAATGTGCATATAACACAAAGAACTGTTAAAATAATCTCAAAAGTATTTTTAGCAACCACTGTTTGTTGTATATAGTAGTAATGTGCTAAATCTGTTCTGTATGCTTTTGACTAAACAAAACTCATGTATCATTCTGTTAGACCAGCATCATTAACAATTACTATTTTAGAAGGTAGAAAGTAGATGCATACATATTACTAAGAAAGTAAGAAAATCCTTATACTCTCTTAATGTTTCGTGTATGTATGTATAAATGTATGTATGTATGTATGTATGTATGTATGTATGTATGTACGTACGTACGTATATAAACATTTCTTATCTCTGCTCACTGAGAAGGCATAGGAACAAAGATCAACTCAGTAATAATTATTCAATTCTGTGGTCGGTCTTGTTATACCATTCTCCAAGCCGTCTTCAAAAATGCCTGATTACAAATGGGACCAGAAGTATACATGGTAAGACTGAACCATATTTTGATTTAAAATAGAATGAAACTGTCTAAGGTAACTAGTATTGTGCTACAAGTTAACATGGAGAGATTCATATTTCCTAAAGAGAATAATCTGAGTACATAAGATGATAATAGTGCAATGGATGGAAACACACTAAAAACTGTGGAATACTGTGGAATACCAATAACATCAATATGTCTAATGCTTTAATATGAAATTTAAAATTACTAATGATGATAGGTGATAAATATATTTAGTAAAATAGTTCAGTGATAATTATATATACTGATCGAATTGGACGAAGCAGAATAGATGTCTTTTCCTCTTGAAAGAGCAACTACTAATCTATTGTGCTAGGCACACAAAAAAATGAGTAAAATACAGTGTGATGGTTAAATTGTCAACTTGTCATGACCTAGAATTACCTGAACAGAGAATCTCAAGTAAAGATTGTGTACATTTGGGTTGGCCTGAGGCTGAGTCTAGGGGATTGTCTTAAGTTAATATAGGAAGACCTAGATCGCTGTGGCTAGTGACATTTCTTAGGCAAGGTTTCTGATTGATGTAAGAACTGAAATATTGAGTTGAGCACAAACAAGAAAGCAAAGAACATATGCATTCATTTCTCTGCCCTTCAATGTAAATTTGATGTGGTCAGGTGATTGAACTTCCTGTCTTGACTTCTTCATGATGGACTATAGCTATAATTACTAAATAGAATAAGTACCTTTCTCCCCTACATTACTTCATGTTCAGGTATTTCATTACAGCAACAGAAATGAAACCAAATCACATAGCATTTGCACAGATGTGCTAAAACTACACAGAAATCCACAGTTTTCATGACATTTAAAGTTTAATGTTTTTAGAAGCACAAATGCTGCAAAAATATGTGAAAGAAATTATTTACTTTTAAAAGCTAACACTCTTCTTATAAAATTCAATATAACTGGATTACATTATTCCTTGTTTCTGTCAAATTTCAAACTTAGAAAAATTTTCACCAGCTGTGGTACAGTGTCTCAGCTTATTATATTTATAACTGTAGATTTAACAATATTTGGAAAATGAACTAGTGGTACATGCTCAATAATTCTGATGTAATCTTTTAAAAACAAAGTCAAAAGAAACAGATATCAGGTGACCAAGGTAGCTAAAATTTTCAATCAGAACAACAAAACATATACAAACGTTAGAATTAAACTTACCATTTAAAATAAACATAGCTAAATGATTGTAAATGAATTTTTATAAAAAAATGAATTTTCAGTTGTCACTTTGTAAGTTTTTAAGTGTTCAAGTGTAAAACCTTAAAAAAATTAAATCAAGACGTTTGGAATTCCTTTAATTAGCTTAAGTGACACAATTATAGGGTTGGAAGAGCTGGGGAGGAAGCAGACAAATTCTACCTAAAAATAATTAGTAATGGTAGATTTTAACTGGCAGCACAAATAAAGACTTCTTTTGTACAAGAGCAATGTATCTGCACTCAAACACATTTAAGTCAATGTAATCAATTTGAAATTTCAGCTTTCCATATAAGAATCACCCTGAGACCAAGCTGAAATGCAGTCATAGGTTTCATGCCCAGTATTATATATTCAGTAGGCTCCCAAATGGAGACTGGCAAGATGACTTGGATGAGATAGTATTTTAGAAAAAAGTTTATTTTTCAAGATTACTAAATGATAGAGGAAAAACTAACCAAACTAAAAATTATTAAATGTACAGTATTCAGAAACTGCTAGTTTAAAAAATACTGCCACCTGTTTACTCTAAACAGTCCTCTATTCCTTAGAATCCTGTGATGCACACATTCACACAATTTACCAGTTATTTTTCCTCCACTAAACTCATTTTATAGCTCACTATTATAGCTGCTCATACTTGTTTGTATCTCCAACTTGTTTTGTCCACATCGGTTTGATTCTTATTGAAAGCCAGTGGCTTTTATCAAGGATGAGGCCACAGCATATTAAAAACTATCTAACAAAACCAAGAAACAGAGTCAGTACATAGTAACCTACTATCAGAGAAAATAATGAAAATAAAATGATTAAGTGATATTTTGTTAAGCACTAATTTTATGTAATTTGTTTTTATCATGGTAAATATTTAAACGGCCCCAGGTACTTTGAAGGATTAATTTTATTAGTAAGCTAATTTACTTCCACCAAAATAGGAAATTAAAAAGTGCAAGTTTGGGCCAAATCTTTTCCTAAAAAACATATATCAAGTTTTAAAAAG